AAAGCAATTAAGAGTCTTCGGAGCACTAAGCACTATGAACATCGAGAGAGGCACTGTCCTGAAGAACCTCCCACCTGCCTGGTTACTCTTCCCGAAGGATATAAACGCCCTATTGAGTGGCCTAAAAGCAGGGAGAAGGTAGGAATAGACTGATTATGCTTGGAAATTTTCATTTAGTATTTGAAAATTTATTCTTCCATAAAATAAGAAATTTTGTCCTGCAGATATGGTATTACAATGTTCCTCACACTAAGCTTGCTCAAATCAAGGGTCACCAAAACTGGGTGAAAGTTACTGGCGAGTACCTCACTTTTCCAGGTGGTGGAACCCAATTTAAGCACGGGGCACTTCATTACATTGACTTTATACAAGAGGTAAGATGCATTTTCTATTTTGTTGGCATTGACATTTGCGGTTGATGTTGATATCAATACATCTGTAAGTTTATTTGGATGACATTTTGCTTTGCTTTCCAAAAATATATATTGCATGCCCAGTGACAATCGTAGCATCTATTTCCTGTTAGATATCTAAAGCTTTTTTTTTTTTTTTAAAGCCAAATTTAAAACTTTTCATAAGCTAATTGGCTATGACATACTCTGTCAAGTGTTGGCATTTTTTCATCTCCATCTATCTTGTAGACCATGAATGTTCTTGGTCATTTTGATTAATATAAGGCATCTTTGTAATGCAGTCTGTACCTGATATTGCTTGGGGAAAGCGCTCACGTGTGGTACTGGATGTTGGATGTGGTGTTGCCAGCTTCGGAGGCTATCTCTTTGATAGGGATGTACTTACCATGTCTCTTGCACCTAAGGACGAACATGAAGCACAAGTACAATTTGCACTTGAAAGGGGAATTCCTGCTATATCTGCTGTGATGGGTACAAAGAGGCTTCCGTTCCCCGGGAGAGTATTTGATATTGTCCATTGTGCTAGATGCAGAGTTCCTTGGCATATAGAAGGTACTCAATTGCTCTAACCTTTATAGTGCTTATTAGACAAGTTGTATGGCAAGAGAAATGTTTTTGTCTTGCATGTGTGCTTCAAAAAAGTTCATGCCATTTTTTAGGCATTGAGATTTTCAGATAACCTGTATGGATAGTAATGACACGAAGTCAATGTAAAAGACAAGAGGGTTTTGTTTGGGATGCTTATCAATTTGTTCTGCTGCAGGTGGTAAACTTCTTTTAGAGCTGAATCGACTATTGCGACCTGGTGGTTTCTTTGTTTGGTCTGCTACTCCTATTTATCAGAAGCTTGCTGAAGATGTTGAAATTTGGAATGGTAGATAATCTAGAAATTCAGTTACCTCCTTTAACCATTTAAATTTTGGTGTATATTAATTAATAAGTTTTGTGCATTCATTTGCAGCCATGAAGGCACTAACAAAGGCTATGTGCTGGGAAGTTGTGTCAATCACCAAGGATAAAGTTAATGGTGTGGGTATTGCTATCTACAGGAAGCCACTTTCTAATGAGTGCTATGAGAAACGTTCAAAGAATGATCCCCCTATGTGTTCAGATTCGGATGATCCTAATGCAGCATGGTATTTTTGCTTTACTGATATGTCAATGCTATTTTGAAGCAAGGGAAACTTTTAGGAGGCATACTGTGTTCACGTATAAAAATCATTAACTTGAATACATTTGGATTGATGTTTATTGTTTCCGCTGCTAATGAAAACGTTGTTCTACAAGGTTTCATTCAATAAACTTGTAGACTTTTAATATAATGTGAAGGTCTAATCTATTTGGTGTTGACAGGAATATTCCATTGCAAGCTTGCATGCACAAAGTGCCAGTGGATTCTGGTGAACGTGGATCACAATGGCCGGAGCAGTGGCCAGCAAGACTGACCAAAGCACCATACTGGTTGATGAGTTCCCAAACTGGAGTATATGGGAAGCCTGCCCCTGATGATTTTACTACTGACTATAAACACTGGAGTCGTGTAGTGTCTAAGTCTTATCTAAATGGGATGGGAATTGACTGGTCGAAAGTGAGGAATGTCATGGATATGAGATCTGTTTATGGAGGGTGAGCAAAATTCATTGTTTCAGTTGTTGCTCATTTCGAGTTATAATGGCTTGTGATTATCATCTGACATCCTTGCTTGCTATTTCCTTTGGGTATGGTTTGCAGATTTGCCGCTGCTCTGAGGGATTTGAAAATATGGGTCATGAACGTGGTTTCCATAGAGACCGCAGATACTCTTCCCATTATATACGAGCGTGGTCTTTTTGGCATATATCATGATTGGTGTGAATCCTTTAGTACGTACCCTAGGACCTATGATCTCGTCCATGCAGATCATTTGTTTTCAAAGCTTAAGAAGAGGTGTGGCATTAGTTGCTGTCTTTTCACATTCATCGCCAACAGCATTTAATAGTCAGTTTGCTAAAATCTGGATTGATATGGTTACGCAGGTGCAATTTAGTGGCTGTTGTTGCTGAAGTTGATCGGATTCTCAGGCCTGAGGGGAAGCTTATTGTGCGCGACAATGTTGATATTATTACTGAGCTTGAAAGCATGGTGAGGGCAATGAAGTGGGAGGTTCGCATGACTTACTCCAAGGACAAGGAGGGATTGCTCTGTGTCGAGAAGTCCATGTGGCGGCCGACAGAATCGGAAAAACTTGAGTACGCTCTTGCCTAGTCATGGAGGCGCCACAAATGAGAAATTAGTTGATTTTTGGGTTTTGGTTGCTTTAATTTCTCGTGTAACTTTTGATTGCTTTTTGCCAAAAAAAAAAAGGGACAGAAAAATCTTGTGTAACTGGTACTTCCACTCAAGACATGTATCATGTTAGTTAGGCACTTTAGTGTTCCGTCCTCCTTTGGTTTTTTATATTGATATTTATTCAGAGGGTGATGTCTTCTACTGTAATGTTGAATAGTGGGGAAGGAAACCTGATAGCAGCATTCTTGCAAGTGTAAAGGCAATTGGTTTAGAAGCCTAATAGTCTGTTATTCTTGAAATCATACTGGCAGATGTATGCCAGAACTGATGGTATGATACCGTTGATATTTTGAACGTTTGGGTCCTAAAAATATTACTACCTCCGGTCTTAATTATAAGGCCCAGTTGACTTATTTGAGGAGATTAAGAAAGTAAGTTAAATTTGTTATTTGTAATAAATAAGTGTTGTCATTCTTAAATATCCTTACTAATAAGTGTATTGGCTAGAACTATTATTACTAGAAGGACTATCTTGGAAAAAAATGCATAAATATGATAGACAAAATGGATTGGGGTCTTATAATTAGGACCAAACAAAAAGTCAAAGAAGGTTTTATATTAAGGAGCGGAGGTAGTATAAATTTTTTTAATACTCGTGCTTTCTGGCCTACCCTCCTCTTATTTTCATTCATCGTGCCTTTCTTGTATAGGGCACCAGAGATTCTAAGTGGGTTACTGCTTCCTACTCTTGTGGAGTAATTAGGATTTGAAGCTAGGGTCAACTGGTAAGTTTGTTCCCATTTGTCAACTTGTTCGTGAGTTGGATGGGGGAAATCCAAATTCTATTACCGCTTATCAGTTTCAACAAACGGTGGGGACCAGGTTCAAGTTCAACGAACTCTATTAGACGATCAAGTCAGTCTCGGAACAAAGATTCGAAGTGTGCCCAATTTAGTTGAATAAACATGATCTCAGTGCATTCTTGACATCAATTTTATTAATCTATTAATCTATTATATATAAAAGTAGAGTACAAGGCATGAGCACCTAGTAGCATGACATGTGGCATCACCAAAGATCAGATAAATGTTTTTTTTTTCAAAAAAAAAAGGCCACATTTATTCACCCATGTTTCTACCCACGTTTTCAACAGTTGTTTACTATTGGAGAGAATTTTCTGGTCAACATGCTATTTTTTCTAGGATATGCACGATTATTCAATTATATATTCATCGGATAGTTAGTTTATTTTAAACGTTGGGTATAATCACAAAATCCAGATTTTGCGTGGCAGTTTTTATCATTATATATTTAAATGCAATCTTCTACAAGAAATCCGTCATAAAATCATGTAAATGTTCCCTTTAAAGGAAAAAAAATTCCCACCTTTGTTAACTATTTTTCAAAACTATTTTCTGCCCATATTTCTAATAGTCCTGTATATCCGCATTGGTGATCATTTTAGTTTAAACTTACAAACCTAGAATTTCTTCTTTTCTCAAATTATTTTATATTATCTGATTTATAAATTGATAAATTATAGGAAGAGTAATATTCCCAATATCCGGAAACATGGGCAGTTTTTTTATTATATATTTATTAGCAGTTTCGTAACTAAAATTGGTTATGAGGATATTTGGGTGAATTTATCTGATCATGATTTATATGATCATGGCAGTTTTTTATTATATATTTAAATGCAATTTTCCTACAAGAAATCCCTAATAAAATCATATAATTGTACCCAACATTTAAAATAAACTAACTATCTGATAAGTATATAATGAAAAATTGCCACACGTCTCCATATTTTGGGAATATACTTCTTCATATAATTTTTAATTATTAAGTGTCATTTTTAAATTTTAAGTGGCATAACCATATTTTACATTCCAAATATAAAATTTCAAAGTGTCTTTAGATAATTCATAAAGTCGGGATTTTAGATATCTTTTATTAATTATTAATAAACCAAACATAAATCCGGAAACATGTGGGTATAATCACAAAGTCAGGATTTTACATGGCAGTTTTTATCATTATATATTTAAATGCAATCTTCTACAAGAAATCTATCGTAAAATCATATAATTATATCTTTTAACGTATTGTTCAGTTTCATTTGACAGCATGTTTTTCTGAAACCCACGTTCGTGATGTGGTCTCGTGTGCAGATCATGCCCACGTTGTATGATGCTTGCCTTGACAGTTATCTGATGTAGTATCTGCTCATAAAAGCGTGAGCACCATTCCAATGTTCCTTTGTGTTCTTCTCCCATTCTTGATAGTGTTAGTTAGGATTTTGTGATTATAGGTGTTATGGCTCCCTTTTTTGATGCAATTCGTTCCCTTAATCCTAGCAGGCAGAATTGGCGGATTAGAGTTTGTGTAGTTCGTCTGTGGACCATGCCTGGCCGCTATTCCCATGAAGAACTCTCCTCTATTGAGATGCTCCTTCGAGATGAGGATGTGAGTAATGCTTTAGTATCATTCCCTTTCTCAACATGTAATATAAATCAATGCTTCTTGTGTGTGCAGGGTGATAACATACATGCTCAGGTTAAGAGTCCCTTCATTACTCATCATCTGAATAACTTCACAGAAGGGAAGCTTTGTGTTATTTCCTACTTCATGGTTACACCGAATTATGGGTCGTATAGGACAACTGATCACCCATATCGAATGACTTTATGTATTCCAGGGCAGTCCGTCCCCTTCCGGAAGATGACCGTATTCATCAGTTTGGATTTGCCTTCCGTTCGTTTGCACATATCTTGTCAAATCAGTTTGATGATCGCTACTTGACTGGTCTGTGTGTTGTGTTGATGTTTGTCTTATTCTAATCTCATTTATGGGTTATGTTAGGTGAATTAATGCGTTTCCTATTGTGCAGATGTCATCGGGATGTTGTCTGCTATTGGAGAGAAGGAGGAGTGCAATATCAATGGCCAAACTCAGCACAGAGTTAATGTGGAACTGATGGATGATGGGTATGCATGGAAGTTGTATCCCTAATGTGTGGCCACATGTTTTGTGTTATTCATCTTTGTTAGATATACTTCTAATGACATTTGTGTTCTTTATGTTTTTTAGAATGGAGAAGCTTGAGTGCACACTCTGGGGGGATTTTGCAGATGAGATTCTCCAATTCATGGCAGGGGATATATCCAGTCCTGTTGTTGTCATTATCCAACTATGTAAAGTTAGAGAGTTTAAATGTATGGTCAATATATTTTGAATAATCCTATAATTAATTCTATCCTTAATGGTTCTAACGTGTTTGTGTTGTGATTTTAGCCAAGAGGAGAATCTCAAACTCTATGTATTCTTCAAGAATCTTCATCCATCCCTCCATTCCTAAAGTGGAACATTTCATGTCAAAGTATGGTTTTGTGATTCAAATTTTTTTCCTACATTCAATTATGTATTAATTTTATATAGCGTGATGACTAATGCGCACGATTTATGTAAAGCCAATTAATTGCTTTTAATTTTGGAAGCAAGTGGTGACAAACTCGCTTGGTGCAGATTGAAGGCAAAAGGTGTCGATGTGGGCCAAGTTCCGGCTAGGATTGCTCCCCAATCAACAATGAGTGTTGCTGATGAGTTACTGTCTGTTGAATTAAGGCGAAAGATATCTGATCTTCGTTCTTTAACTGGGGTGTGTTATTTCCTACTTCTCTCTACTATTATTCATTGTTCACATAATGCTCTCAATCTTGCCTTTTGCTTCTCAATATTTACATATTTAGTTATTTGTTGTAGGATGGTGTGTGTGTTGTTCTAGCGGATATAGTAGACTTTCGTACTGAGAAGGGTTGGATGTATGTCTCTTGTAAGCATTGCGGAAAAAAAGTGGTGCCCGATGGGGAGGGGTTTTTTTGTGAGAAGTGTGCTTCCATTATTAAGGTGGTTGTACCAAGGTAATGCTTTTAGTACCATATGTTATACTTCCGAATGTTTGAGGGACTTGCATGACACTTTGTTCCTATTGGTTTAAATTGTTATCACAGGTATATGGTTACTTGTGAGGTTATGGATGAGAGTGGATCCTGCAGCGTTGTCATATTTGACAGAGAGTTTTCTAGGATGGTTGGTTGTTCTACAACAGAGATGAGGAACCGCATTCTCAAACAGTTTGGTGATGAAGGGGTATATCTATATTAATATATTTATTCAAGTGTTGATATGTTCTTGTGGGATATTATCTATTAATAGATTTCTTGATGTATGTTCAGGTTGGTGATGGAGATGGAATCACAGCAAGCATCTTAGAGCCCCTCACTTGGAAGAGATACTTATTTAAACTGCGTGTTCCTGAGGATTATGTAAAGACGTATTCAAACACATGTATCGCTGTGCGCTTGACCAGTGATAAGATATAATTCATTCCCATCAAATTTAATAGCAGAGAAGATGCCATCTCAGAATCTTGCTATGGAAGCTGACGTTCAGCATGAGGCTGTTGTTGGGCTCCCATCCAAGGGTGCTATTGGAGAAAATGCTGCTGTATCTTCAAAGATCGAGGTAAATGAGCAAGGTCCAGATGTGGAAGCTGATGGTGAAGGAAACAATAAAGACGATAGCTTGGCGGTTTTACGTCGTCGTGGGAAGGCAAAACGAAAGTTGACCATTGAAGATTAAACATTGGATATTGTGTCTTCTGTCCAGTCTTACATTATGTCTATTTTGTTGTTCTTGATTACTTTAGCCTTTTAATGTTGGTTTAGACTTCGTTTGGTTTTCTATGTTTATGTGCTTGGATTGGCAAGACTATGATTTGTTGCCCATATACTTAATGCATATCCCAGTTCAGTTTTTCCCTCTCTAATTGCCTTGCTCAACACATTTCCCATTTCTCATCCATAAAATGTGGTAATCTTCATTGATATATATGACTCGGTAGTTCTTGAAAATGTTCGGTTTTCATATTACCTGAGTAGAAAATTGATAATTTTATCAACAAACAGAGTTTGTTGTTTGATAAACAAACGGTTTAAATTTAACCAAAAACTAAATGTTACTTAATATAATGTAATTTTGATAATTTTTGGATACATATCCCAGTGCAGTTTTGATAATTATATGAAAACGACGTCAATATAGTACGTCAATGTAATTGGGAATGCAAACAGAAAAAAATATTATTATTATTTTTATGCATGATATATTTGTATGTATATATAACTTGAACTACTGATTGATAGCATGGGGAATTTTTTTTATTGATTATTTTGAATTTTATTCAAAATTATAATTTTTTTATTATTATTCATTAATTTTATATGCGTCATTTACCAAATTAATTTTTCTCGGATTATTTTTAAGACTGATACTTCGATTCAGAATAAATTATTTAATATTGCATTTGAAATACAAATAAAACCCATAGATGTCTTTATTTATTGTTAAATTTTTATTGATACCACATGTTTGGTTTGAAATCCGAATTAGGATATGGGGAATATATTTGTTGCTATTAATACGTCACATAATATTTAAACTATTATATATTCACCTGAAATATAGGAAGAGCTATAATCACAAAATCTGGAAACATGGGCAGTCTTTTATTTCATATTTATCAGCAATTTCGTAAAATAGATTGGTTATGAAGATATTGCGGTATATTTATCCAATCGTGCTTATAACTGTTTACTATATACCAAACAAGTGGTTATGCCACTAAATATTTAAACTACCCACTTATTATTAAAACCAGAGATTTCTTCCTCGTGCAATGCACGGATTAAAATATTTGATTAAATTTTAAATGATAATAAATTGTATTATCTAAGGCAGTTCAAAATTATATTCACTTTTTATAGAAGTGTAATTTTTTTATTCATTCGAATGAGATTTGAATTAGAGATTTGAAAATTAAGAAGACCATATAAAAATTTAAAATTATTTATTTATTTCTCTATTTAAGCCTCCAATTGATGTATTTTAATTATGGTGTTTCCTATTTAATTCAATATATTCAAATCCCAATTAAGATATCATTCAAACTCAAAATTAATTATTAATTCCTTCATTCAACCCTCAAATTGAAATCCCATTTAATAATGATACTCCTCATTTAATTCAATATACATAAATCCCAATCAAAATATTATTCAAATCTCATCAATTAAATAAATTCAGATGTCTTAATGTTATACTCGACCCGCTTTTAAAATGAATTGGGTATTACAAGTTTTCAAGAATATAATGATTGATTTATAAATTGATAAATTATAGAAAGAGATATAATCACAAATCCGGAAACACAAGGCAGTTTTTTTTAATATATTTCACCTGAAATATAGGAAGAGCTATAATCACAAAATCTGGAAACATGGGCAGTTTTTTATTTCATATTTATCAGCAATTTCGTAGAATGGATTGGTTATGAAGATATTGCGGTATATTTATCCAATCGTGCTTATAACTGTTTACTATACACCAAACAAGTGGTTATGCCACTAAATATTTAAACTACCCACTTATTATTAAAATTGATTTATAAATCGATAAATTATAGAAAGAGATATAATCACAAATTCGGAAATGAAAGGCAGTTTTTTTTTTAAATATATTTATCGGTTAATTTGATTTGTAAATTGATAAATTATAGGGAGTGCTATAATTATAAAATCCGGGAGCGTGGGTCAGTTTTTTAATAATAAGTTTATCGGTAATTGAATACAATAAATACCAACGCATTTGTATATCTAGACTAATAAAAAGCTGCCAATTACTATCAAGGGAAAAAAGTCTTTGAGATAAATATTTAAGTTGTATATTAAATAAGAGCAGTATACTTACCAACTAAATATAAAGTATATTCATATTCAGATTATTGGGAAGTTAAGGATGCGGATATATCAGAATCCAAGATACTTTGAAATCCGAATTAGGATATGGGGAATATATTTTATTTGTATTAATATGCCACATAATATTTAAACTATTGTATAAATTGATAAATTATAGGAAGAGCTGTAATCACAAATTCCGGAAACGTCAGCAGTTTTTTAATGCATATTTATCAGCAGTTTAGTACAATAAATATCAATCCATTTGTATATCTAGACTAATAAAAAACTGCCAATTACTATTAAGAAAAAAAAGTCATTGGGATAAATATTATAGTTGTATATTAAATAAGAGCAATATACTTACCAACTAAATATAAGGTATATTCATATTCAAATTATTGGGAAGTCAAGGATGTGGATATATCAGGTTAATGAAATGCTATTTTTTTCAACCAATTACAAGCTGCTCTTTTTTATAAGATAATAAATTTATCAATTTAACTTAAATTAGAATATCAGGATCATGGGAAAAATTAGAGAAAAGAATCATGAGGGAGATTGGGCAGGATAATAAAAATTATAATTACGTGAAACAATCAAACATTTAAATATAGATATACATTATTATCCATATCCATATCTCCTACATTTTCTCCACTGTTCTATCCTCCATTTTATTGTTAAAGCTAATGCATATTTAAAAACCCGTTGAAGAATATATAAACATTGTTGAGTCATGAGAAAAATAAAGTTTTTTAATCTATATAAAAAAATAAATTGTTTTGAACGATCGTATATAATAAAAGTTATATATTTTTAGTAAAAGTTAGCATTATTTTATAAATAATTATTTTGCTTAAAGAAGATTTATATATGGATAAAAAGTAGATGAATTACGGAATTTTAATCCATTTTAAAAGAATTTGTACAAGTTAGTTTTATATTTTAACAGAGGTTTACATAGCTTTTAAAAATAAAAGTTTAGTGTAATGTGAAGTAACTTCCATCACCTTTTGCCCACTTTCTCCACATCCCCATGTTATTCTTAAATTTTTTTCCATTTTTTTCCTGTTAAAGCCACAACTCGGAACTCTATCAGAAAGTCATCATTTTTAAATGAATTTTTAAATTTGAATTTTAAATCATATATGAGAAGTTACAAAACGGGGAATTTGTTGAATGATTCAAATGGCCTTGTGTCAAGCCGCTTCTTCCCAACAATTTTTATCAAATGCTCAAACTTAGTCCTGTGAGCCAAAGCCTACAGGTTCCATTGTCATTATGTCTACACTCGGTTGAATTCTTAAATACAATCACAATATCTGGATTGCCAAATCACAAGCTAAGCCTTAAAGTCGGTGCTCCTATAATGTTGATGCGAAATATTGATAAATCCATAGGTCTTTGTAATGGGACTAGGTTAATTGTCACACGTTTGGAGAAACATGTGATAGGAGCTGAGATTATCACAGGAAGTAATACTGGCATGCATGTCTTGATTCCACGCTTAACCATCACACCATCTGAGACGTCTTTGCCTTTCACTTTATGTAGAAGACAGTTTCCTGTAATGCTATCTTTTGTAATGACTATAAACAAGAGTCAAGGTCAAAGTCTTCTCAATGTAGGGTTATTTCTGCCTCGTCTTGTCTTTACACATGGTCAGTTATACATTGCTATCTCACAAGTGTGGCGACGAGAAGGTTTAAAAATATTGCTCCTTGATGACAAAGGCACTCCCACCAATAAAACTTCAAATGTTGTTTATAAGGAAGTCTTCTGTAACCTTTTGAATTGAGAGACACCTAGGTCAGTATTGAGCCATGCTTGTGCATATACAAAAATATATGTAGTAGGTAACCATTTCATATATGCAATATTTTGTGAATGTGTAGTGATTATGACTTTCTCCCTTTGAGCTGGAAGGTAAATTGAAACTTTAAAAGTGATGATATCTTCATTTTCATATCCATGTTGTTCTTTTGCTATTACTTTGTTTTTTGTACTAATATGATGATATTAACAATGAAAATTTAGATATCATTTGAATGGGGTATTTTCACTTCATATTTTTTATTTAATATGATGCCTAAATATTTGTTCAAATTTCATGGGAACACAAATTTCATTCTATATCATATGTTTGTACTTCCAGTATAAGTAATAATTTCATATAAAGTATGTTGTTGGCCTATACAATTGTTTGATTCGACTAGGGCTAATTATTATATTATTTATAATGGAGTGTTGGGTGATTAATCTCTACATTTACAATGGTTTGTTTCTCTTTTTTTTTTTATCATTTAAAGGAAATAAGTGCGAGGTGATAGGATGGAGAACACAAAGTATTGCATATCTTTCCATTTCCTGTGTTGATGAAAAGTAATCAAACGTTCTTTCATGCATTAGATTTTCTTTGTCTATACATCTTTCCTTGTAATTATTAAATAAGACAAAATCATATCAGACTCAAACATTATATTTTTTCTTTGTAATTATCAACTGTCATATTATCATATGACACTATTGCATCCAATATCTTTCAAATGGCTAGCCATTTTATTTTCATTTGATTTTTTATATGGTAATAGACCATATCACACCCGTGCATCGCACGGGTCTTGTACTAGTTAAATGAAGAAAAGTAGAAAACAATTGAGTACTTGGATTGGAAGCGCATGATGCGGTCCCGCCAACCAACAGTTTCTTAATTTGGCGTGTTAACTGTAAGTTCGGCTCTTTTTACTTAACAGTACTTGAATAAAAATTAAATTATAGTTTTAAAAGTAATTTTACAGTCTGAAATAAATATGTGGATAAATTTATTTCGATTAATAAAAAAGTATTTTTTAAAAGCATTTTTATCTAATACCAATTACCTTTTTAGTTGCGTCACTACAATCCGGTTAAAAGATCAGCATTGGTTCTGGGAAGGATCTTTAGGTATAAAAAGATTATCTTTTTTTTTATAGAAAAAAAGGGATGAATTTCGATAGTATAATCATGTATTTGAACTCGTATCTGCTTTTGACTTCTGGTCCGAGTGTAACCAAATTGACCTCCCCCCCCCCCCCAAAATTTTTTCTTTGTTCTGGATATGACCAAATAGACTTATTTTAGTCCGCCAAGTGATTATTAACCGAAACTCCTAATGCTTAGCCCTAAAGTAATTCGGGCAGCTTGAACTTTCTCAAAACCCCACGCGAGGAACAACAGTAAATATAGAATGTAGTCATGCCTTTCCTTTTCTTGTACACTCTTGTAAGAAGACATTTTAGATAATACTTGATCCGTTCATATAAATATATCATATCATCTGGTGTATCTGCTAGGTTTTAACATCATAGTGAGTAGTGAGAAGTTTAGATGCTTCCAAGGACATTCGTAAGTGAAGACACTGAAGAGAGGGTTCAGGACTTTCAATTATAATGATTAATACGCCCAACAATATATGATTATATTAGTCATTGAAAGTTGGGAATAGCTCCAAAAGTTCCAATGTCTCAGCAGCTGCGTATGTAATTAAGTTTTTCACGTTGTAGCTCAACGACAGAGGACTCAGGATTTGGATCTCCTCAGTAATTCTTCATCCCATCTTCTTCTTTTCATCCCATCCAACACTAAATTAAGGGAAAAAAATGGTTGAGTAAACGCCTTATAAAATTATGATTATAATACTACATAAAAAATTAATAAATTTTAAAAATTAAAATTTGATTTTGATAATTCACAACTGCGAACTATCTAATGAAATGAAAAAAAAATAATGGGTTTATAAAATATTAAATACATTCATTTGTTTTTTTATCCAATAATGGGAATGGGATGATGAGAAGAAAGGAAAAATAATAAAGAGAGGACTGAAATCACAGCAGATATTCTATCCACAAAAATAACTAAATAAGAACGTTATATATATATATATATATATATATATATTATATTCAAGAGCCAAAAACGAACAAAGTATATATGCTATGCCTCTCTTTAGGGAATCATTTTGATTATGAAATAAACAACGTTGGAAGGTCAGCTATACCACTTGGACAGCAAGAGCGAGTCGCTAGGTTTTCAGTGGTGAAAAAATCAACCTCTGCCTATTCCTATTTTCATGCCTCACTTTTCGTTTCTCGTTGCAACCCTTAATTCCCATTTCTCTCGTCTCTCAAAAACCTCATACCATATGTCTCTTTCTTCTCTCTCTTCCCTCTCTCTCTTTCTGTAAAAACAAACAAAAACAGCTAATAATAAAAATAATGAAAGAAGAGAGTCCTAGCACTCCAAATTTGCCAAGCACGGGCAGTCCTGAAAGCCCTTGTTTTAAATCATCATCATCAACAAACAAAGAACAAGATCGGTTTCTTCCCATCGCAAACGTTGGGAGGATCATGAAGAAAGTGATGCCTGCAAATGGAAAAATCTCAAAGGACGCTAAAGAAACTGTTCAAGAATGTGTTTCTGAGTTCATCAGCTTCGTCACCGGCGAGGCCTCCGATAAGTGCCAGAGAGAGAAAAGAAAGACCATTAATGGCGATGACATTATCTGGGCCATTACCACACTTGGCTTTGAGGACTATGTGGATCCTTTGAAATCTTACCTTCAGAAATATAGAGAGATAGAAGGAGAGAAGCTCAATATTCCCAAACAACAACGTTCTGATCATCATCATCAACAAAGGCTACAGAATCATCATCACCATCATCATCAAGAACACAATAATAATGCTAATAGTATTAATTTTAATAATAATAATCTACCTCTAAATAATAGTGTATATTCTTCAACCATTCTCATTCCTCCTCCTCCTCCTCCTCCGCCTCCTTGTGTGACCACCGATCAGACATTTTCCTTACCTTTCTCATCAAATTCAATTCAGAAACAATTACAGCCCCAAGACAAAATGGATTCTTCAGTGGGAAATTGGTAATTCATTCACACTCAAAAATATATATAACATCTTCATGTTCATTTTTCACTACATTGCAATTTTGTTATGTGTAGTTTCGCACGTATATATTGATATACATATTATGTTTACACATATATCTTTACATCTAACAAAATTGGTTTTCCTTTTCTAATGTGAAAGAGAAAACATTGGTAATTCAGACGACCTATATATATATATATATATATATATATATATTCATTTCCAGTTTTCACTTTTAATGTTGCTATATTTAATTAGTGTTGCGGCGTATACGTATATGGATTAATATATCATACATATCTATGCACATATGTGTAAATGACAAAATGAGCTTTATTCATAACATAAATAGATACATATGAATCTGTATGTGTTTCTGCATTTCTTTAACAAAAAGTAACATGGCGCGGTTTGAAATATTATTGGCCTTGGATCAACATTGTGTTACGTTGGTACTTTTTCGACGCTAATATATATATATATATATATATAGAGAGAGAGAGAGAGAGAGAAATAATCTCACACAACAGAAAATAAAACTTTATTGATCATAACTCTTATTACATGATCCCTGGGTAGGAAGGCTGTGAAGTAACAGACACACAGGAACATGAAGAAGATTATTTGGGACCAGAGGCAACATGGGAATACATTATTCATAAGGTTGGCCATCCCAGATAGGAACAGAAAGGACACTAATTAAGCAGCATTAGAAGATGGGATGGACTGATTGGTGGATTTGGAAGAGAGAAACCAATGGACAAAGTTAGGAAGAGTATGAGTATTAGGACGATAATGGTATTGGGTGAAGGTGAAGAAATCGGACCACTTGAAATCAGGGTACTTCCTCTCCTCTTTTTCTTCCAACATGAGCTTCTCAGGTGGCTTCACCGTCTTGTCCTTCTTTGGAACAGTGAAGTACACCAATGACCTCCTTTCCTTCTCCCTGTTCACCAAAGCCCTATGCAGACAACTCTTGTATTTCCCATTTGTCAACGCCTAGTATCACAATGTATGGTCATTAAAACACACACACACACACACACATGTGGGGGAAAAAAGAAGTGGTAGGTGTGTTACCTTGGGTCTAAAATCTTGATCAATAATATAAGTCATTTATTTAGTTTTCTTTATTTTTTTAAATTAATTAACTATATCTTATATTAATAACTGAAAGTAGTGTATTTTTGCAATCCCACCCCCTTATTTATTGGTGGTACACATTGAATATATGTAGAAAAAGAGGAGGGATGGGAGACAGATTTGAATAGGAGTAAAGTCGAAAAATTTCACCCCTTTAAAACAGATTTAATGAATCAACCGCTTTTTCTCGTTTTTGGTAAGTCGATTGAAAGTTGCTTATATTTTAGACCGGAGAGAACACATAATTAAGAGGAACGTACTTGAAAGGTGTCGCCGATGTTGATGACAAAGGCCTCAGGGCGAGGGTGAACGGCGAGCCACTTGTTATCGATGAAGACTTCGAGACCACCAACTTGATCCTGATGAAGAATAGTGACACTGGTCGGATCACTGTGAGGACCAGTGCCCATGGTGAGGTTCGAACTGTTGCATGGTGGGTATAAGTTGCATCTCATTATGCCTCCACCATCTTTGAAATATTCCTTCATGTATGATCTTTCCAATCCCAAACTCATCGCCAATACCTCCATTATCACTTCCGACAGTCCCTTCATCGCGTCGCAGAACCTCTGATACACCTCCCTGTCAACAATCAAACAGTTGCATATGAGCGCCACCCGTCAGATAAGGTCTCAGACTCAAACTTGGCGTTGACATAAATTGATTGTACTCTGATGATGCTTAATATAAAAATTAATTAACTAAGTTGAGTAGATTAAGAAAGTTTGTTAAGTTAGTTAATTGTAATAAATAGGTGTTGTTTTTTTTAGAATACCTTTGCTAATCAAATACATTAGTTAGAATTACTATTACCACAAGGACTATCTTGATAAAAAGTGGATAAATATGAAAGACAAAGTGAGTTGAGTTCTTATAAACGAGCTCTTATATTCGGATATAGTATTTGAAAAAATGAAGCAGTTCTTAGAACACTTTCAGAATTGCTAATCTAGTTCAAACCAAAACAGTTCTTGAACCTTATGTACATACCCAGTATGTTTATTAAGGTTGTCTCCAAAGGCAGACTTGAAATGCTCAGTGATTTGCGAATCAGAACCCTCGTTGCTATATTCAAAAGAGTAGATCTCTTTCCATGGCAAGTTGGTGGAAAACCGATCGGCATGAGCACCAGAATAGCCCTGAACGCTGCCGCGTTGCCGTTTTGCGTTGAGCTTCACGTCGAGAGGAAGCCCAATGATGGAGCCGATCTCGTCGTAAGCGGCTTGGATCAGAAGAGGGTCGACGCCATGGTTGGTGACTTGGAAGAACCCGTGCTTCACGCAGGCCTCTCTCACGAGCTCGCAAGCCCTAGCCATGGCTTCCTCGTCGCCTTTCGAGAAATCGCTCAGGTCTATCAGTGGCTCGTTCAGATCCTCCTTCGCCGTCTCCGTCAGGTCTTCCGCCGACCACACGAACTCGCTTGGCATCTCTTTCTGTTTCAGCAAGCTCGTGTCGAATACCATCATCCCATTCTCGTATTTCATTGTCTCCGCCATTGTTGCTCACCCGAAGCTTCTTTCTGTGATACAACTCAGAAGGTTTGGTTGGGTGAGTTTCGGAGGCTAATGAATCCTTTATATACCCTCAACCTCCTTCTATGGAAAGATATATTAATGGGATTGTTTCTTCTCTTTTATTTTTTTTGCTATTATTGGCATTAATTTGTGTCTGTGGTTGACTACAAGGTGCAATGAAACAGAATTATTGTCTTTAATGTTTTATGTATTTGCTTATTAGTTTCAACTGAATGAGGGGAGAATGACCACCAGATTCAATGTTAAATTCATTAAAGAGGGTGAACCTTTTTTTTTAAAGAAAATTTTTTTAAAAGATTTTTTTAATAAACAATATATAGATTTATTCCCAATTTTTGTTCTTGATAGATATTAACATTGTTGATCAGTTAATTGGATGTTTCATGGATTAATGAAAAATGAAATGGTTCATGATGAATTTCAGCATTTGGAGAGACGTTTTTGGAATAAAATAATTAATAATTGCCGGTTTCTTCTTAATCATTTTTTTTCATTTAACAACATGAATTAAAGCAAGGGAGAATCCTTAAAAAATACTTTAAAATTTTAAAATTTCAAATCAGTCTTGTTTACTATAATTTAATAACGATTAACAACGTTTAAAAAGCAAATAACAACACATTTTTGTAATAATTCTTGATTTGGGATTTTAAAATTTTAAAGGTATTTTTTTGAGATTGTTTCTAAAAGTAATACATATTAACCAATTAATTAATTCAGAAAAATAAATATAGAAGATGTACATTTAGAGAATAATACAAAAAATATAATAAATGAATGTATCAGCATCTATGACATATGCATGTATAAGTCTCTCCAAATACATGAATATGCATAAGCAAAGTAGTGAGAATTCAATTTAATTAATAGGTTCCTCTTCTACAAATCATAAATTCATGCATGTACGTAATAGATAAATATTAATGTACATACTTGCAATTGCAAACTATACGGATGCACGCAGCGCTTATATTGCCTTTTTTTTTTTAAAAAGAAAGAAAGAACCTGAACCTTATATTGCCTTATTCAGCTTCTAAATTGAAACGGGATTGTTGAGTTCTTTATGGTCCCTACACCACATTCCTGCCACATCATATATTCATATTAGGAATGTTCTTTTTGTCAAAATACACATATTTTATTTTGAACTGATAATGTCATACACACACACACGACTATTTATATTATAGATTTTTGTTTTTATTGAAAGTTATGTTTTTAGAAATTAATCTAAAACAGAAGAATTGTATATTAAAAATATTAAATAATTTATATTTTTTTAGCAAACTCTGTTATGTTTATGCAGTTAATATATATCAATATTAAAAATAACTTGTATAGAATCTATATATATTTATTCTCAAATCATCCGAAATTAATATTTATTAGTTACACCCAATACTCTAATTTTATTTATGATGCATCTATATTCGTAATATTATTTTTTTTCCAGCATCCTAATTTTATATATAATGCATTCAGCACCCCAAATTATAAATAAACTTAGGATATTGGATGTAATTAAAAAAATAACATCAAGACTATAAATAAGATTAAAATGCTGGATGCTACTGAAAAATAACATCAAGATGCTTGAACTTCTATTATATATTAAGCTTTTAATTAAGCTTAATTATTGCGTAAATTTTTTTTTTCATATTAAAAAATTAAGAAATATTTATGATATATAGGATGAAATAATTAAATACTACCTCCGGTCTTTGATATAAGAGCTTTTTTTTTTTTTATTTTGATCCTAAATATAATACTCAAAACCACTTTGTTTCTTATATTTATCTATTCTTTCTCAAGATAATCTATATAGTAATGGTAGTTCTAACTAAGAGTTTTGATTAATAAGAATATTTTAGGAAAGACAACATCTATTTATTATAAATAACTAACTTAATTAATTTTCTTATAATCTACTCAAATTAGTTAATTAGCTTTTACATTAAAAACCAGAAGTAGTACTTTTTATGATTAACAAGGAACAAATTAAAATTCACTAATTCTTCGCTTATGCTAGAGGTATAGAGGGCGATTTTGTTCCTCCCTAACCCCACGTTAGTGCCTCATTTTAGAGAGGAAATAATCCTTCGCTAATTTTTCTCACCGAATGTTTGGATTTGATGGGTTAAAATGATTTTAAGTCATATTACATATCTAGATTGAATTTGAACTGTCCAAAATTTTGATTGAATATTATCAATATCTTTATGTTCATTTTCTATCTGCATTGCAATTATGTAGTTTTGCCATGGTATGGTGTACATGAATGCATGTGGGGGCGGATAATGCTGATGCACATCCTCACAT